TGCATACGAGTCGTCAAAACGTAAAGTTTGGTGACAGTTGGGAATGATACCAAGATTTAACAATTCCATGAGAACATCGCAATGTTCTTTTAACACATGAAACGGGCGTGTATTGGTCAAATTTTGTATAGTTCCAATAGGCATACAAGCACCTGTATATATTTTGACAATAAACCCCTCATTCACATTGTGCAAATACAAACAAGACATTAAACCTTCTTGATAGTAACAAGTAAATGTTGTATAAAACCGAATGAAAAGGCCGGATTCACGGCAAATACTTCTAGCCAGTCATCACTCTAAAAACGTCATTACTATGCCAATGACATTGAACTTTGCTCTTCCATAAAGCAGCAGTTTCCATCTTCAAATACATTGTAATCAAAATAATCTTGATACCCTGGCGAAGCATGTCTATTGTTTCACAACCACTGTCCCAAGGGATTTTCGTCTTCTCAATTTCTCAAGATAAATGTCCTAATGTTGTTTTGTTTACTAGAAGGACATGTCTTTTGGCAGTATTTCTTGTATTAATTTCCATTGCACAAAAAAGTAGCAAATACTGTTACTGATGCATAGAATTTGCACGATTTTTTCTCTCCGGCCATTCACGCAAACTGCAAACGAAGTCTTTTACCTTATCCATAGTTGTTGACACTTGCAACCGCCTTGGTGAATGTATTGCGACGTATTTTGACCCCGGATTCTGACCTTGCATTCTGGCTACGTTTACTGCCCTTTCATACCACTTCAGTTTCTTTTCATTATTTCATCCAGATTCCACGATATTTAATATTTAAAACCAACCTTCATTTCACAGTCACTCTAGTTTTCACTTTTCTAAAATGATTTTACTGATCAAAAGACTTTCCACTTCCATCATGCAATCCCCCATAGTACTTCCGGAAACACAGAGGCGATCGCCAGCATATCTACAAATAACCTCGCTCTCAGGAGCTGAGGAATAAATCCTTGATATAACCCAACCTTGCTTTTGAATCACAGGAGTTTGTGCAACTTTCCTTTTTTTTATTTGTTTTGAATAGCCTCTAATGTCTTGTATTTTCACCAGACAAAAATAAATTGTTTTGGAAAAACATCATTAGTTTCTGTGATTTATTTCCTTTATATCATAACAATATACAAAGCCATTTAAATATAAAATAAAAGTTTAAAAATGAACACAAAGAAAGTCCAAATGAAATCATTTTGTTCTTACTGGAATGCAAACTTGCCACCATCACCACTGAAAACAGAATAACTGGCAGGGGGAGGCTGGAAGGTGTGTTTGGGGTTAAGAGTTGTAATATCTTAACAAAATAGAATGGGTAATAAGGTACATGTATTATTAAACAGAACTATTCAGGGTATACCTGTAACCCAAACTTTGTTTTTTAATAATCAAATTTGCATATGATGATTTGACTTGGTAACCCCAGATTGAAGCTGTTCTAAGTGACAAAGTAACAAAGTAACATAATTGTTATTACGATATGCATCTAATATGAACCATTGAATTCATAACAAACACCACCACGTACATTTAGTGTGCTATTACTTTAACAGCATCTATCCTTCATGTCATATTCTGTTTATGTGTTGAGAATTTGATGGTACACATTCACATCCACTTCTATTTTATGCAAACATGTTTTACACTTGGGTATATTTGTTAGTCTTGTACAAACATACATACATAAATAAATGACTGGTGGGAAAAATGGTCATTCATTAGATACTCCCTACAAATCTCATCCTGACTTAAAGTAAGGATGTTCAATACAGTTTCAAGTCTGTGTTGTGTGCACAATATTTCTTGTATGGGCATTCTCCGTTTTACATTTCATAACTGTTATCTTGGGGATTTATTTTCTCCTTATATATATATATATATATATATATATATATAACTATGAATCTCAGTGCAATGAATATACATATTTTTGGTTGTTACAGTTTATACGTCATACATTCTTTGACACAAAACCTATTTCAAGTGAGAAAATGCTCTATCACACATGTATTAGTGGGGGCACAAATTATAAAAACCTGAATACCATTTTTAAAAATTCACAATTTCAAAAAAAAAGTCAATGATTTTGATATTTGAAATGGTCAATTTTCCTCAAACATGCGTCTTAACTACACAATATAA